AATATTTTGATTATGGTAGGGTATGATCAACTTTCTCTCAGCAATATCATGTTTTCCATTTTGCTTTCGTTGGACAGGAAGATAGTACAAAATGGTAGTTCAATGTTTGTTATTGAATGATACTGGGCTAATTTACCAATACATGATTGATTTCCATGTTCTAAGAAATATATGTGCTGACATGATTAGAACTTAGAATACGTTTTGGTATGTAATTTCAAAGTTTCTATCTAGTTCATATGCATTCTATGTGAAAAGGGGTAGAATTATTAATCATGTACCATATTGGGTGAACCAAGCATATTGTGAAATGATCTGTAGTTGAGTATGGAAAAACCTCTCTTGAGCATTATGCTTTTAGCATTCAATGCTTCTAGAAACCTTTTTAGAGATGGCCTGTCATTTTAGATTCCCTTCAGGTAGAGTCGATGACTTCCTTCTGAATGTATTTTCTTGCTCTGATGATATCCTGCTAAGTTCTTCAGCCTTGCTTCTAATTTGGAAATTAAATTCCTGAACTGTACTATGTTGCATCCTCCTCTTTATAAACTTTCCCCTGGTGGACTTATATTAGTCTAGGTTAATACTGAAGAAGACCACTGACATTTGCTTTTTAATTTATAAGGATCAAGTAGTTGCTAATGTGGAGGCTAGGATAGCTGCCTGGACGTTCCTTCCTGAAGGTACTGCAGTTCTATGATGTTGAGTGGCTTCATCTCCCTGTCTCTTGTGTGTGTGTGTGTGTGTGCGCGCGCATAAGCGAAATCTTACGTTATTAAGTTGGAATACAGAGAACGGGGAATCTATTCAGATATTGCATTACGAACATGGCCAAAAGTATGAGCCACATTTTGATTATTTTCATGACAAAGTCAATCAAGAGCTAGGCGGTCATCGGGTGGCTACTGTTCTTATGTATTTATCTGATGTTGAGAAGGGTGGGGAAACAGTTTTTCCTAATTCAGAGGTAATCAGTAATTGCATGATTCATCTTTTTCAAACAGTTTTTCCTAATTCAGAGGTAATCAGTAATTGCATGATTCATCTTTTTCAAACAGTTTTTCCTAATTCAGAGGTAATCAGTAATTGCATGATTCATCTTTTTCTGTTCTGCTGGCGATTATGATGCAATATTTTCTTCTTTTTTTCCCTTGTTAACGGGAAACCTACAGGCAAAAAAAACTCAGCCAAAGGGTGATGACTGGTCTGATTGTGCTAAAAAAGGATATGCAGGTACGTTTGGCACCATGAATAGGTTGAGTGTGACATCTGTAGATTTATGAGTCCCTTCAGCATATTAATGTATTATCTGTTGTTTTCAAAGTACATTTTTTTGGATTCGTGATAAAAGGATAATAGGTAAGAAAACAATGTCCTCTTGCAAATTCTTGTAATGGAGCATTTGCTTGTCCCTATGATGCAAAATACATGTTCCTTTCTGTTTAATGGAAATGTCTTGCAGTACAGTGTCTTCATGTTGGTTCAGCATTCTGTATCTTCTTTTCTTATTCTCTTGATTCTCGTTGTTGCATTGAAAAGCAATGTAAGTTGCTGTGGACTGCCATCTTGGATGCGCTTCCTCATTGGCTAGAGGGAGAGAGCAATCTCAGAAGTAGTTATGCATTTCACCTTTGCTTTCTATAACCTCCTGTAAAGCCCCGCCCCCCCTCTCC